GAAATGTTTACCCGATAACTAATAGCCGTTTGAACAGTACAACTTACGGTGATCAATTTTAAATGAGCAGAAATTACTTTTCATTGTTTAGGAATACTCTTCAAATAACGTAAAACAAGGAAGTGTAAAAATATGAACTGAATCAGTCAATCAGTGTCCAATACAAAACGTTAGATAGGCATACCGATAAAATTTAAAAAGATTTGCTCTCTTTTTCGGTAGGCATAAGGTCGCCAGTCCTAAGACTGTTTGGACACGTACCTCCACTCTTTGCTATCCTGAGCTAAACTTCGCATTTCCCTAAAACTAGAGCAACCCACATCTTTAACTGTTTGCGAACAGTAACCTAACCTAGGTCTGCCTCTACCCCTCCTAACTCCTGTTTCTGCCTCTAATATGTCTCTGACTAGACCTTCATGTCTGAGAAGGTGTCCTACCAATCTATCTCGCCGATTTCTTATTGACTTCCATAGAGTCCTCTCTTCTCCTATTCTTTCCAATACCTCTTCATTTCTAACCTTTTCTACCCACGTTATCCTCATAATTCGCCTATAAAATTACATTTCGGAAACTTCTAACCTTTTCTTTTCCGCCGCGCCCACTTTAAGATCACACAAAATAATTATTTAATTAAATAGGTTCAATGAGAAATGCGATTTTTGAAAAACTTTCTTTTACAATATCTCATTAACTGACTCTGAAATTGTAGAAATCGCCAGTGTGTGTACAAAAATTCAAGATTGGTTTTACCCGCGGCTTCGCGTCTTAAATGCGTGTCAAAGATCTTCGACGACCACATAAAACAAATTTTTCTATCCCTCGCGAACAGTACTTTTTCTAGATAAAATGTACCCTATGTCCTTTTCTGTACCCCTGACAATGTGTGTACAAAATTTCATGATGATCGGTTGAGTACTTAAGGCGTGAAGTGGTAGCAAACAACCAGACAAATTTATACTATTAGTTAGGATTAAATAATAAACATACTGCTTGAAAAGCTAGAAAAATTTGCCTGTGTATAATTTTGATTTTAAAGCCGCAAAATGTGTCTAATTGTTTAGCTTCATAAATTTCCGTGAATATTATGCCGCTAGTTTGGCCTGTTTCGGAATAAATAATGCTCTGGGTGCGTTTATGCATACGTTTCGACTCATTATTTTTGACTTATTGGTTTAAACGCTTGTATTTATCAGGTAGATTCAATCACTATTTTCTATTATATGCAAGGAATTTTACAATAAATGTTCGCCTTTGGAAAAACAAAAAAGAACAAAAACGAATAAACAATTTAAAAGTGATCATTAGGCAGTAGTTGCTTTTACCATTACAAATATTTGAAGCGATCAATTGATCGTAATAATTGAACAAAAATACTTTGGTCTTTAAAGTTTGTTTCGCTAACGAAAACAAAAAATACGATCATCAATAGCACTGAAACAGCCTATTAACAACAACTGTTTTTTTTTTACATAACTCGAAGAAAATTATTTTATTGCTCATCTGAAACGCTTTAAATATAATTGACATTGTTTATTATATCCACGAATTTATTCATAAAAAATTAATGCTCTAGTCTAGACGCAAACAAATATTCGCGACTTCTAAAACATAGGTACTATTCCATTTTCACTTTTTCATGCTCTTATAATTATGACACGCCACTGACTAATTGCAATCTGAAGATTTTTAATATTTAGCGAACTAGCAGCTATTGATTTTACAGAAGATTAATGACTTCAAAATACTTTTATCTGCTGATATAAAAAGTGTACTGCATAACATCATTGTATGCTATTAATGAGTTAAAGAACAAAAGATTATTTAATTTTGTGAGAGGAAAGAAGTGCTCAAACCTTTTCTGTTTATTTTTAATAAAAGAAATAAATTAGAAAAAACCCTGGTAACGTAACTAATTATCAAATCCTAAGACGTGTAAATTTCTAACATTATATGAAATTATTTTAAACAAAAAATTTTATGTAAAATTATACGTTTTCCCAAATTCTGATTACACAACTGAATGCGTATCTGAACAGAATGAGAATCAAATGTTTTCAAATTTTTGTAAGTTAGAAACGTAATATCCTGGTCGTTTTCCACTACATAAAGAGACAATTGTCCTTTTATCAGGGTGACCTGTCTCTAAATGTTGTACAACTTGGATGGTACGCGTTTTTAGCGTACATCCGGCCAGAGCAAGTCTAAAACGCTTCCGGTAAACACTGCAAAATTAATGTCCGACAATTTCCTTTACTGAAATGTAGATTCTGTTGCTATAAATTATAAAAGTCCACAAATAATTGAATTCAACCAGATTTCGATAAATATTCATTTAAATTAAAGAAACAAATATAGTACAATTTTGCAGTAATTTGAATATTTAAGGCAGGTAATGGTAATATAAATGTCCATTTGGTATGTCTTGTCTAATACGCGTAATTTTTTTTAAACTTTTTAGTCACATAATTAAAGTATTTAACATTTACAACATAAAGAATTTTCTTTCCTGAGGAACTAAACGATAGACCACGAGATACTTTAAAATCTATTTTGAGCAGTGCGTTGCTCTTGACATTTTCTATATGCAATTAAGTAAAATCAATAAATTACATTAACCCTACGTATGCAATATTCGATATTATCGTGATATTTATCCTTTAGCGTGTTGATATAATCTATGAAATGTAATTGATTTATTCCCTTGTACCAATCTATTTGCAATAACTTCGATAAATCGAGAAATCATAACTTCTAAAATATTAAAAATGAGTAACCTGCATAGGGGCTGTTTCAAGTAAATTGCCTAAATTTATTTTAATATTGTACTTGTACATACATAAAATCCATATACATATCTAATGTTTAGTGTTAGCTTGAAACATAGTACCTACTAAAGAGGGTGTCGGGACAATTGCGGACTTGGACATCTGCGGACCTTTCCCTAATTATCGCGTTTATTAGGAGGTACGGTTTAAGTAGAACTATTTTATGAGACATTTCTTAGTTAATATTATGAAGAACCTAATATATATATATATACCAAAATATTTGTATCAGTTTCTCATTACGAAGACATCCAATCAAAGCAAAGAAGATGAGATCGCACAACACAAACAGTCTTTTTTGTTATTAAATATTTTTTCTAGCAGTCTATATTGTACTGTATATACAATAATCCATATTACATAATTTTGTATATAATAAAAAGTAACAAGTCCGCAAATGTCTCACCAAAGATGTTTCTACCTAAACCATACTTGCGTATAAATACGTTAATTAGGGTGAGGTCAGCAAATGTCCCATTAAGTGACAGATTCGCAAATGTCTATGTCCGAAAATGTCCCGGATTCCTTCAATAAATGTAGTTATCAAGCAAACCCACAAATGTTACATACTCAAACAAATCAAGTAAAAAATTATTTTCACCTAATCTATATTCAGTTATTTTGACTTATTCCTTATTGGCATTTCATGAGATGATATGATTTTATAACCTTCTGAATGAAGATTTCAGATTAACAATAATTATGCTACCAAAGCATTATTATTATTATTATTACCGTAACGATAAATGTGTTACCGCCTCGAATCAAAATCGTTTTCCTATTCCCAACTTTTATTGCTGCTATCTATGCAAGATGCATGGCGATAGCATTAAAGAGATTTATAACCACCTTCCCATCTGCCAAGGTTATAGCTATTAGCCTTCCTGTTCCAATTAGGAGAAGGGACATATACAGATTGATTCGCGATCAATTTTGTGATTCAGGCAATCCTGAGAGAGAATTATGGTAACCTAAGAGAGGAAGAGGCTGGTTTACGTTGTCCGGATTTGAAAATTATTAGAATTTAATTATACAATCAAATGGAAAAAGAGTTTTGCGCTTCGATGGAGAAAGTTAAAAAAATTAGGAAAATATATTTTGACGATTAAAAAACAAAATTTCGAATTTAATGAATGTGAGTTAGACTCTACTTAGTACGACAAAAAAGCCGCTCTTAGTCTACAAGATCGAAGACGCAAATTATTTTAGACGTTCGCTAATAAACGTTAAACTTCAAAAATCGCATATTATATTTGAAGTTACATGAATTGAATTGAACATAGTTGTTAAATTGTAATACCTTTATTGCTTACGGTACGTAAACATTCAGACTTTGACAGCTTCATTTTTAAGTACAAAATGTTTAGATTAATGATAAATTTTCAACTATTTCAATCAAGTTTCTAAATTAATAATCCTCTTGCAACAAGGTAACGGAAATTTGTATTAAACACATGAGTTACTTCCGAATATTTGTAAAGTTTATGGCCACGTAATACGATTACGATGCAATTCAAACATTAGATATAAGTACATGTATATACATATATTAAAAGTTAGGATGCAGTGAAAATAGAAGCAGGTATTATCCATAAATTTTACTACTTTGCAAATAAAGAATATCATTTCATTTTCACATTCTACAGAGTTGTACTTAAAAATGTACACAGCAATGAATAATCTATTAAAGTCGCCGCCGCCATGGTTAAACAAGATCGAGGATTAATTTTAGAAAAAAAGACCATAATAAAGTTTTTATTATTTTTAAACCCTCAAACCGTAAAAGTTCATAAAATTGTGGTACGTAAAACGTCGTCAATAATACAAAGGGAGAGGGTGGGACATTGCTTAGCATGGCGAAATGTAGTAAGGGGGGTATGGCTTCATTACGATAGAAAGTCATTCTCAGATACACACCAAATTAATTTTATGTGAGGTAAAAGAGAGAATGACCTTTTTAATGTTTCAAAAAGTTTTAATTAGATTCTACTAGGCATAACGCCTTTCTCAAGTATACAAATAACACTCTTTTAGATATAAAACAAAAACGGAAAAAAATTAAACCTTAATCTAAAGTTCAAATTTTTAATTGCGTTGGTTACGATAAGGAAAATTATACATTGTACAAAAATAAAGTACCTAAAGAAAATTGTACAAGTAAAAATAAGGCAGTTAAAATTTTAAAGTCGTTCTATTAATAAACAGCTTACTACAATAGTTATATAAAAACAAACTGTTTAATACAGTTTTGATTACATTTAAAGTATTATGCTGACAATTACATATTAAAGTCACAAATCTCTCTCGTTCTTAATTAAGTATACATTTAGGGTATCAGTTTTGTTTGACCTCAGTGCATTCTTTTTGTGAACATTTATATGTTTCTGTAGTCCGGCATTTAATGAAAAGGCCTCTCCACATGTATCACAAATGTATGGTTTTTCCCCAGTGTGGGTTCGCATATGAACGTGTAAATGGGTTGACTGTGTAAATCGTCTATTACAAATGGTACATTCGTGATTTTTTATACCCAAATGTATTCGCATGTGTCTTTGGACGCCGTTTGAAAATGGAAAACTTTTCCCACAAATGCTGCACAAAAATGGAGTCCTTTTCGTTTTTTGTCCTGGGGCAGCTTCATGAGAGCGAATGTGTCTTCTTAGAGAGGAAACTCTTTGAAAGGATTTTTCACAATAGTTGCACATGTAATTTTTTTCACCAGTATGTGACGTTAAATGTTCTCGAAGATGATAAGACTGTTTGAAACCTTTGTTGCAAAATGTACAAACATATTTTTTATCATCCACATGTACTCTTGTCCTGTGTTTTTGCAATTTCCATCTCTTGTCAAAAACAGAACCACACAGTTCACAGAAATAATTTACAGCTGGTTTAGGCTTAACGTTGTACTTTTTAGGTCTGCCTCTCTTTTTCTTTGAATTTTTTTCTTTGCTTGTTTGCTCAACATCTTTGTTACAATCATTACAGAAAAGCCCAAATTGTTCCTTATCACAACTAAATGTTTTTTGGCATTTATCACAAGTACTCTCTTTACATCCATCTTCTAACTCACACTGTAAACCAGGTACTATACAATTATTTGTGTTTACATCTTTACTGTCTTTTCTTTGCTCAATTAAATTAAAATCTTTAACTTCATAGTCTTCTTCATGGGCAGAAAATTCCTTCTCATCAAAGCATTTACTGTTTGAGTCATTGTCTACATATTTCAGATCTGCCAAAAAATAATCACTATCACCATCATCCTCATCGGTATATCTATCTTTTTGTTTAATATTTAGTAAATCTTCACAAGCATTATTCTTCTCCAAATTTGCAAGTAAAAAATGAGGACTGAAATTTTCGTTATTTGTTATACTTTCGTTGTTATGTTGAGCCCCATTATAGAACTTCTGAAGGGTTTCTTGAGATCCCAGCACCATTTGTTTAAACTTGTAGGACACTCGAAGTTTCCTAATACAAGAAAAACATAGTTCCATCTTTATATTTTGTGTTTCAATCTATAATTATAAATGATTTGGTTCATCGTGATTAATAAGAAGGTATTTTTTACTTACAAGTTTTGAGGAAACACACACCATCAGTTTATCCAAATAGGTTATTTTATCATGGTCCATTTTCGAAACCTCAACAAATTCTTTACTGTTAGATTTTAAGCACGTATAGCACGTTTTAGTGGTACATAACATACTGAGTACTTTTTGTAGTTTAATATAAATTATAGTTATAATATGTAAATAAAACAGAAGTGTAAATTTTTGTACTTTAAAAGGTTATGTTGCTGATCTTGTTTACTTTGATGTTTGTTTGACGATTTATAGAAGTATTCAAACAAGTAATCCTAATGTGAAATGTAACCGAACGGACACACGATAATATAATATTGTACATTTAAAACGAATAACAATAACAAATATTTTCTTTTATGTTCATCCTTAATTAAATTTAAAAATACATTTATAAAAATACCTGAGCTATTATGGAATAAAATAGAATACTGTTACGATTACTAAATTAATACCACTTGCAGTAATATAGAAATGTTATGGGATAATTTTTTGATTTTACCTAATACATACTCAAAAAATAGTGAGCGCACATTTTCGTTTTTCCATACCTATACAAAAGGAAAAAACATGTGGTTTATTAGATGAAACAATATCGAAACAGCCCCAATTTCCAATAAAAAAACACACTCTAAATTATAATAATGGCCGATTAGCGATGGGAAAAGTAAAAAAGAATTAAATTGGTGGTTATGATGTTATAAATAATCCATCGAATTATGATTAAACATTAACCATTTCTTTTTAATAAAAAAAAAATTAAAAAATAGTTTATAAAAGAAATACAACTCAAGCTCAATTGCAAATTATCTTAAACATAATAAGCGGATTCTGCTGTAAAAAAGTAAAATTTGAAGTACAACGGATCCCTAATTAAATACCGTTTTGCGTAGATAACCGTTATTACCTACAGTTCCGTAATACTATAGCAATTTATTGTTGTAGACTAACAAATAATGAAAACGCAAACAATGACTATTCATTTGACAACCTGATTTGTATGATGATTCAAAACTCACACAAAATTAAAATTAGACTCATCAGAATAAGTAAAAAAAAAATAGTTATCATAGAACGAGCCGTAAAACAATAAAATCTAAAAATACTTTTTGCGTAATGAAATAACACGAATGGGTGCTCCTATTTCAGATTTTGCTCAGAAATGGTAACTGCTATTTAGAGAATGATCTACATTATTTAATAATTTTATTAATATTGGCGACTAAAATGAAGATGGAATGCATTTGGTCTATCCAGAAAAATTATAAATAAGATAAATTAACGCATAAGACATACTTCCCGATTCCATAATAGTAGCAGTACAAGTACCATTTATAACTACATTTTTAACTTATATTTAATATGTAGTACAAATACTACTGTTAAAACAGTTTTTACTATTTTCACATAATTTCAATTATTTTTTCAATGTTTATCCAATAAGTAAATATAAAAGAATTATGCAATATTATGATATTCGCGAATTAAATTAGTAACGTGATAGTCTGCTGTAGATACTTCAATTACGTATATCAAAATATGCAAATCAATGTAGACAATTTAAAATTACGAGAAGTAATTATAATGGCGAAGTATGTTTTATATTGTACAACGAACTACAATGTTTAATAAACCCTGATAAAAGATAATCACTAATTAACCATTTGGTGCACAATTATAGAACTAACTTATATATAAAACAAAAAGTGTGTGTAGCACGCTCATTTTATATTTCATATAGCGTAGGTAGGATATCGATGTAAATATTTGTAGAATCTTTTGAATTTTCTCTTATTCCCCCCCACAGTAAAACGTTTGAGTGAATTTTAGTGCTGTTTTTGAGTTAACACAATTTTCCATCTTACTTAGGTATATTATATCATACTTGTGGTAGGTAAGTACTAATTGTAAGTTTATTTGAAAAACTAACACGTATTATGTAATTATTTCGAATACGTAATCGAATTACATCTCACAAAAGTGTGATAAACATTTAAATATAAAAAGGAAGCTTCTAAGAAGTAATTTATAAACAATGTAATGCTAATAAAAGGATTGTCATATAGAATTGTTTATTGAAGAAAAGTTCTATCTATAAAATTGATACTTAGACGATTTTGCTTATTGCAAAATAGGTATATCGTTTTAATCATCTTTAATTTAATAACAATTCGAGTATATTTTTGGTTATTAAAAAACGTGCGGCACGATCAGCCGCACGGCTCAGGTATGCATGATTAAAATGCATGTCAAAAGTAGAAATGTAGACAGAATCCTAATCTAATCCTAGGTTTGACTAACGCCTTTATAATAGATTAAGATTAAATTTCAAATCGCGGCAACCTAAACTTTTACCATGTCATCTGCGTAACTATTTATTATCACCTGGTTTTCGGAAACTGTCCTAAACTATCCGAACTCAAAATCTTCTAAACAAAGCATACCATCCCTCGAAAGCTCTAAACTGCATATATCGAACTCATGTTTTTTTTATGGAAAGATGGTTAAAGGTATTTGGTGAAGTAGGACGGATAATCCTAACTTCTGCTGTACGCCGAATTAATATTGTACAGCTAATTTATGCTGTTTCCTTTAAAATGATTAAAGTCCACTTTTTGTTGAAAACTTTAACATGTAAAGGATCGACCAAATGGAGTTCACAAGATAAATACGTACACTTACTAAATCGGAATGCGGGTAGTAACAGCAATAGATGATTTTCTGAGAAGTATGACAATGGCAAATATTGAAACATACAGATCTTAACTGAAATTTGGAAAGTCCAGCCCTAATGGTTTTAAACGACATTATTGCAAACTATACGTGGAACTTGGACATTACAAATTTGAGAATAAAGATGATTTGAAAGAGCTTACTGAAATATGCAGATAAAATTAGCCTAATTCATTAAATAAAAACATGAATAATAACTAACAACTAAACTTAATTACAACAATGATAAAAAAATACAGAAGCGACGGACCAGTATTTATATGGATTTTTATCTACCACATCGTAGTACCACCCTTTGAAAATTGTATAGGTATAATACAATATCCCTATAGTGTATATAGTCGCAAGTGATATCATATAAAAGGTAGAGGTAATTTAGAAAGATATGACTCTTACTCTTCGGTTGCACAGTGATAAAATACAAACAGCGACGGACCAGTATTTATATGGATTTTTATCTACCACATCGTAGTACCACCCTTTGAAAATTGTATAGGTATAATACAATATCCCTATAGTGTATATAGTCGCAAGTGATATCATATAAAAGGTAGAGGTAATTTAGAAAGATATGACTCTTACTCTTCGGTTGCACAGTGATAAAATTCTAACCGCTGATTGGCGGTGTTCCGAATAAAATAGTTTATTACCATTAGTATTCTGTGAACCATATCATACACGTTCATGTTAATTCAGTTTAAATTAGTTAATTACGTAACTATAACGAGATCTTTGGAATTTTGAGAAGTCGTGAATCCCAACTAAAAATTTCCGAAAGTAAAATAAACATAAATAGTAGTAAGACATTAAACTGAATAAACTGTTTGAAATTTTTTCATAAAAGGTTTAGCAGCAAAAGGTCAGGTCCCTATTATAATAAATGATTTTGTAAATATTTTTTGAGGACTTGCATTCCTGAAAATTTAAAGTACCTATGCTAATTGGACCATTTTAATAAACTTAAACTGTGTGTTTAATTTCGTATTTAAAAAAACCAAGTCATACCTGTTTACATTTTTTATTATTTATTTTATTATTATTAGAAAGGTAAAGTATTTAAAATACTTTATGGCATGGAAAATTTTGACGAAAACGAAAAGTAAACAGAATAATGTACCCAAGTATAAACTTTAAACCACCATCAAGTTGCTCCAACTCGATCAATATACCTACCGGTGAAATAAGGGCACTAACTCGCAAAACTTTGAAATTGTTATTACGTAGTTTTCGACCTAACTGAAATTATGAACAGGTAACAACTTGCCAATTTTAGTAAATATGTGAACAATGCATGTTAAAGCTTAAAGTAAAATCCCGACCAATTTTCATTTACGATGAAATGAAAATAAATGTTATACTAATCAATATAGTTAAAACCTTTTTATTGACAACGATAAAAAAAATCCTCTAACCGAGAGATGATCATGTTTTAAAAAAGAAACATTTAACAACTCATATTTCATCATTTCTACCATCAAATTTTCTATTATCAAGTAAACTCAATGGTATTTGGGATTATTTGAAAAATTAATTTTTCAACCCTATGTTTTCGTAACTTTTTTGTGCTGTGCAGATCTTTTATGTACGAATATGAACAAAAAAGAAGAAAAAGTTATTAAAATTAAAAGTGCCCAGTACAACGGATCCCTAATNAATATTATCAATGTTTTCCTTTATGAATTTTAAAATATAAATTAGTTTTTCTTAAGAAATTTTTATTTATTTGCTGAATTTTCTGTTCTACCCTAACCGGACTACCTTAAGATAGAAACTTTAGAAAACAATATAGGTAGATAGGTACCATTCCTTGTATATTAATTTAGTTCACGAAGAACTTCTTTCGAGAATTGGCGATTTTCTCGGCGAACTTCTTCAAAAGTATTCCGGAAATTAAAAATAAACACGAAAAGTGTAAAAGTTCTTATTAAAAACGAATGGGAAGGTTATTCCATCCAAATATACACACAAAAGCAAGAAAAGTAATATAACTAGCCACATGTATACGTATGTATAAATGGCAATATTTTTAACAAGTTTTACCAGTGTTAATTATTAGAAGAGTTTGCAAAGCTCCATGTGTTAAGATCGAATTTATGGGTAATTTTATTGATCAAAGAAAGAATTTCTACAGTGTCTACCATTTGACCTTTACTTATTTGTAATTAGTATGAAACTGTATCAAGAAACTTTATTATAAAACCTTCCGGCATTCTAATTGCTAAATGTTGGCAAAAAAATGTTATAATTTTGCTCATTTTGGTCCTAACAATGAGATTAAGTACTAAACTTACATATACAGTAACATAGCCCCGCGTTTGTAAAAAAAATTAAATAAAAGTTTTGCTGACTTGGCTCAAAATAAATTACCGCACTAATATAATATTTTTCAAATACATATAAGCTATTTTGGGTTAAGTAAAGTTATGCTAACTTACGTAATGTTACGAAAAAATAATCATTGAAACTAAAAAACTTTTTGAATAAATTGCCTAATTAATGAGCCGATTTTTTTTTTGTTGATAACTTTTGCGAAGTAGCACATTACTGTACTGTGATGCTAATACCTATCTACAACAGTTAATCAATTGAAGATAATAAAGACCACAGTTAAGATTCGAAAAAAAAAGAATTAATAGTTTCAATATTAGAAAGACGTCTCGGGGTTCAAATGCATGTGTTTAATTTGAATAATCTAAGTAAAATTACGTTCTTTAAAGCCGGTAAAAACCATTTTCAAAATCAAATTTAATTACAATCTTGCACTTTTACAATACCTAACGTTAATTCCTAGTTTCTGAAGCATTAAAAACAACAATTTTATTATTTAACCGATTATTATTTGACGCACTTTTCTTATTATTTCCGAAACTACTGAGCCTACAAGGAATATCACGCTTTACATAATAAAAATCATAAACAATGTTCTAGACTCTAGACCTTAGGTGTAGTCTAGAAATTACTTTTATAAATTGGGTTTTTATTTACGGTTAACAGCAATACAAAATATTCTACAAAATGATTTCTAATGCAATTGATTAAAAAAAATAATACGTTTTCGAAACTTTTGTGCTTATAATGTATTTCAAAGGATTACGGAATCCTTGACGCACAAATCAAGACCGTATTTTCTGATGGTATTTTCTACTGTACTAACCTACGTCAGTCCTGACATACCTATTAGCAGGATTCGATAAGATAAAGTAAATGGAGAATAATCTGACACCAATCATTGAATACATTCTACGGTTCTCTTTTTCATCTCGAATCAACTTTTCAATCAAGAGGCTTTAAAATTAGGTCATTTGCAAAACATCCCAGGTAAAAAGTGTGGTGAGAATTTAGAAAAGGGTTTCTGATTTATACTCTTAAGTATTTGAACAAAAAAAGCGTATATAATTTTTTTTTTTATATTTTAGTCAATTTGAAACTTCAGAAACGTATATTTTCAAATAAACCCCTTTAAAAATGACTAAACGAAAATAGTGTTGAACAGATTTGACAAGCCTTTCAAAAATTTTATCAATCGCGTAACATTACAGACTTGGAGATTGAGATATGTCCACGTATTAAATGGCTTCCTTTCATATTAACTAAACAAAAATCAAATCGTATTACCTCATACACGTAAGTACCTACACGGTTAGGCTTCCTTTGAAGAGAGGTGCAAAAATTCAAAGAGAATTTTGCCATCATATCAACTGGATTCCTTTCTATAAAGGGCATAACATCAAAGAAAATTTTAAAAAAATCGTTGTATTCGTTTTAATACCCTAGTAGGTCATCGTTCTTAAGTATATATAGGATAGACCAATTATTTCATACACGTTTTTCGATTGATAATTCTTTCAAAGGTTAAATTAATAACTATGGTTCCTTTCGAAACTAAATTTCGGTAAGAATTTTAAAACTTTTTGGGATTCATACGTTACTGTTTGATTTTCCGGTCAGTAGGAATATTATGACAAATAATAATCGAAAAATTATAAATAAAACGACTTACACTAACCTACGCAAAAATGCGGCGTTTTTTTTTATGCGAAGAAAAGGATTCGTTATAATCTTCTGTTATAGACTCACGTACTCGGCGTGAATAAAATGGAACATTAATTCCCAATAGACCTCAGCAATATGGCTAT